GTGGCGATTCACTCACTGTCTTCTGAGAACCACTTCGTCTTTGAAGGCAGAATGACATTACCGACAAAGACAAGGAAGACCAGAATTGTCATTTTTGACTTATTAGCCATCATCAGCCAGCCGTACCTAACCCCTGTTTCGCCAAACCGGAGTCTCCAACTCGCAATTCGTTGGTTGGAAGAAATGGCCATTCCAGTCTCCTTGGTCTGTGTCGCTAACGTTTATCTTCCCACAATATACAGTAGCCGCGAAAGATCACGCGTCATGCCGACATATGCAAAAGATTGATACTCTTTCGCTAATTGGCATTGACTCAGGTTGTGATGCTGATCACCATGTAGTCTATTCTGAAGTCATTTCAGTCATGAAAGGATGCGGGCTTTTTAACGACCTTCGTTCTGACCACTTGCAAAACGTCTCTATAGTAAAAACTGGCTACTTAAGTAGTATGCCTCTTTATCATTGATTTTGACCGCCTTTATAAATTCAAATGTAATTTATGGAAAAAATGCAAGAAAACATTACTTCTTGCAGTGGTTTGATAGCAAATTACGGTTTCTTTAAACTTTATAGTGAAAAAAAGAGTAATTTTGCGGTTTTAAAAAAAGGTTCTCAATTGCCGAATAATTTTCTAACCTGCTGACTGCTAAAATCGAATTCAAGGTTTAAATAATGCGCACTGTGTACATTCTGTTTAAGGAAAAGTATCGTTTTGCCTACAGTTCGAGGAAGACACATTGTTGTCATAAAATATTGCAATAGATGTGGAAAGTGTTTTATGCAGTATAGGCAGCATCAATAAATTAACGGATATGATTTATTATGAATAAACACCTCTTAATTGTAAAAAAGCCCATAATTAGCAACATTTTAAAAACCAAAAGATACCCTTTCTTTAAGTACAACAGTTAAAGAAGGCGTAATTTGCTATCAACCAAGTGCAAGAAGTAATTTTTTAGTGCATGTTTTCCATAAAACCTGTTTGAATTTATAAATGCAGTCAAAATAAATGATAGAGAGGCATACTACTTAAGTAGCCAGTTTTTACTATAGATACGTTTTGCTAGTTGTCAGAA